CTTATTGAACACTGTGCAACCCTAACATTTCCTTCTCAGTGGTTAGTCAAGACAGGGGTACTATTCCTGAAGGATGTCCAGTTTTGAAGTCCTTTCACTCCAAGTATGAGTCTCTCTGTGCAACATTAAGGCTAAACTTGTTGATTCTCCACACATAGCATTTTCCAGACATCTTCCCTGCATCTGTTGCTATCACAGACATCCCGGGGTAGAGCACCTTGTGCATTAAGGACATTCTGGGCAGCCAGCCCATTCAGAGAAGCCTTCAAAAGTATCCCAGGGAGGGAGGAAGGTTATATGCTCATCTTCTACACATTTGCATTATACCATGTCATACTGAATTTAATAAAGAGAAGGTGTTTCCCACAGCACCTGTGCTGGAGTTCTGAAGAACTATTCTGTTTCCCAGGAATATCTGTCTGACTTCGTCCTGATCCCAGGTCCCAATTTGTAGCATCATCACACCCATCCAAACCAGTCCTCCTCTGAATATTTGGAATATTTTATGGATATTTGCCCAAACTGATCTGCAGTACAATTGATAGAGGTTGTGGTGACCCAAGGCAGTGGAGGAGCACCTCCATTGGCAGGAGAAGTTGCACCATGAAATTTTTAGTAATAGGGTGCAGAGAGGCTGTGTTTTCCTGCTTAGGGTTGGACAGCTGTGTGGTGGCAGAAAGTTCAGCCTCAGAGTCATCCTTCACAATGCCAAATGTCAGTGTGTATTTTCTTCCAGGGATTTCACTGAGGTTGGGCGTGTGCATTTCTGCTTGAGCAGTTGTAAAACCAGAAAAATGAAGTTAGTTCTTAGTTCTTGAAATAACTGGCTCTTGTCATGACTGTGAGACTCAAGGGCAGCTGCGTAGGCATCCTTAGCTTGATGTAAACTGCCTTGTGATCTGGTTTTTAATGCCTGTACTCTAGTTTCTAATCTTTGTTTTGCAGTTCTAAGCAAAATGTGTCCAGCATCTGGTACCTCTGTGTGGAGACCAGTGAAGAGTTCCTTTTCCTCTGTTCTTTCACGTTTGTGACTTTCTGCCACCTCTGAAGTTCTTCTTGCAGGATTTCCCAATTAAAACAATTTTTAGATTCCCTACTCCAATCCCACCTAGCTGTTTTCCATCTCTTTTAGCCATTTTCACTGTTTCTGTACAGCCTCCTTCCAAGCATCTCTATGACTTCTGGATTTCACAGAACCCCACTTCTATCGTGAATTACTTTCACAGTGCAAATGGGGAAAGAAGTAATGGACAAGGCCTCACCTAGATCAGGAATGTGGTGCATTTGCATGTTGCAGGAGTTGACATGGTTCCATAATGAGTTAACCCGATGGACAGTGATAGTACTGGGGGAAGCATTAATAAGCAAAATGCTTTGACTTAGATACAGTTTGTGGACAAAGTCGAGGCATTTTAAACATGTTAACTACAGCACCTGAGTAGACTTTTGAAAGACCACCCCACTTCTCTCTGAGGCTGAGATCACGAGTGGCTTCATGCATCTGATTTGTGTTTGCTGTTGTGGCCTGGGGGCAGGACCGAAAAGCATAGCTTCAAACACAAGTCCCACCTCCACCATTCTGCAGACCGCCTCATCCCAAGTATTCCTAAAGACCAGTCTTGCCCATAACTCTACCCAGCACATCGTCACAAATCACTGTATCACTTCCTATGTACTGGGTTTGTAAATGTGCTGAACTTGAACTATCAAAGGGGTAAAAGCTGAAGGAATAGAGCAGAGCAGTGTTGGGCACTGGTCTTTGAACTGAAAAATGTCACACGCATTGCTTTGACAATGTGCATAGTCTGTAGGTCTGCCTTTTCCCTAACTTGTTTGTGATGAAAGCTTTGCCAGCTTTGATTTTCCATTGTGCTTGAAAGAAAGGAAATGCATTTCTGTAGCTCTGAAACACATCAACCGAAAGCTGATTTATGTAAACTTTCAGCAGCTTCTTCTCTGGTTATATATAAGGGTGCCTTACCACCACATGTTTTTGATGCAAATTACACCCACTAGTTATTCTAAATTCTCTGAGCTCTAGGTTCATGTTTAATTTACTTAATTTCGGTGTGACAAAGGTTATTCAAAAGTTTACTTTGTCATTTTTCCTTTGATTGAGGCTTTGGGATTTTTTTTTTTAATAATTATTTTTTTGTGAAGTGTTTCTAATGGCTTTTAGATAAAAGGTGCAGGTGCTACCCCCAAAACATTTGTCACCGCTTTCCAGGGAAAACCAAGACAACAGCTAAAACATGTAAACAGAGAGGAATTGATTATGGATAAGACATCCTCCATAAAGCAGCAGGGTCTCTTGCAGCATTCATTTGGGAAAACATCCTGGGCTCAGTGTTAGGCAGTATTTGAAACAAAACATTTAAAAGAGCACCTTGCCCGACCCACAGAGATGTGCTCTGGGTTCTCTTCTGCCACCTACAGAGAAGTGCAGACCCATCTGCCTCATGGCAGGTCCTGACTGCCATTCTCTGTGCTTTGCTCAGCACACAGCACGCTGCTCCAGCCATGCTTGGCTGGCTGTCACTTGAAGCAAAGGGAGCTGTAGGATGAGTGCTTGTGCTTTCCCTGGTGCTTCACTGCTGTTGCTGGAACAGCTGTTGTCATTTGCTGCTATTATTTACTTCCAGAGATCCTTCTCTTCCCTTTGGCTGCTGTGTTGGGGAAGCAGTAGTGCTCTCTTGATTAACTTTTCCCAAGATTTATTCTTCAGTCGAGCTGTTCTCTGGAAGCTAAACTATCAGAGGACTTTGTAGGCTGAATTTTCTGCCTTAGACACTTGAATAAATCCCCCTTTTTGTGGAAATTTGACATTAGATTGGTTTAACTGGCAAGCCCTTTGTACTACAAGTAGATAAATGTAAATGTAAACTTACGGTCTCTCATGTACTTTATTTGTTTAAAGACTTTCCATTGTAGAGGGAACATTGGGAAGCAGATGTTGCCACAAAGGGAAACAAATACATGAGGCTCTTGAGGGGCAGTGACCTTCACCGCCAATAATATGACTTCTTTTGTTTGCACCAGTGGTGCAGAACTGTTCAACAGGTGGTAAGCTAAAATCCAAATGCGTATTTCCCTTGCAGAGGAAAAAAAAAACAAAAAAAAAACAATGAGGAACTTAACCAGCAGGCTCTGGGGAACTGGAGCTGCAGGGGGTGGGCTGAGTGGGGGGAGGCCATGAGCATGACAACAACCCATTGCACACTAAAACTGCAACCCTTCAGCTCCTTGTGACACCTCTGCCCAAGCGTGTTTAAGAAACAGAGATAGCTGCTATGAACAAAAGTCACAGGGGGGAGGCGTGAGGTGACACATGAGGAATCACAGAACGGGACTTGAAAAGGTGACAAGGGGCAGGAGGCACATAAAGACCTGCATGAGGACAAGCAAAAGGAGACATGAGCAAAGATGTGAGGAGGCAGAGGATACACGAGAGGAAACACTGGAAGGCATGCAAAAGGTGTGAGGACAAAGAAATGTGTCCAGAGTGAAGGGAGGACGAGGAGGAGAGGTGTGGAAGGGTACATTGTTGGGTACATGGATGGAGGTGCTGTTCTTGAAGGAGGTAGTGCTGGAGAAAGGGATACCCTTGAAGGTCTGTGACTCAGAGAGGAACCACATGGGGACAGGGACGCCTGTGGGTATGTGGCTGGTGGGTGATTGATGTCAGAATGGGGATTTCCCTGTGTCCTGCAGAGAGCCTGTGCCAGCGTGGGTACGCTCTGAAGGACTGCAGGCTATGGAGGGCTGGGCAGAGGAGTTGTAAGAAGCAAGGAGCAGTGGTGGGAAGGAGTAAGATGCAAAGAGTGGCGAAAATAAGCTGTCATGCACTGACCAAAGGAACAGGGACAGACTGAGTCAGGGAAAAGAAGGGAAGCTGGTACTGGGCAAGAGGGAGAAAGAAGAGCTGAAGAGGAGCCTGAAAAGAGAGAGGAAAGGTATTTCCCAAACTATTTAATTGTTTCACTTCTGCTGCAGCTGAATTGGCAATTAAAAGTAAAGTTGGTTGGTAATAAAGTTTAAAAAGGTAGTTGGTAATGAATCACATGAAATTGAATTTCTGAAGTCAAGACTGTCCTGCGTGCAAAGTATGCTCACTGTGCTGGGATGCAAACTGTTCACATGGCAAACCATACAAAGCCCACGTAAGTGTAACTTGGGTAGCGTTTCCTCTTCTATACGTGAGACTGGCATATATTTGCATTGCTGTGTTGGCACTTTTGGTGTTTTCCTGCTTACAGAGCTCTAGAGAAGAACCAGCACTGGCCAGCTGCAAGTGTTTGTGAACAGTCATCTTGGAACAAATGGTGGAGGCAAAAACCATAGAGTAGAAAAGGTCTCCCATGCTCGTGTGCTCTTCTTCCTTCTGAACCAAAGTGGGGCCATAGAGAGAAGAAGGAGAGAAGAGAGTTGGGGCAGATGACATGGTCTTGCCATTTCTTGCAGCTGTATGGGAAGAAAGTGTGCACTGTCCTCTTGGAGTCTCAAGGAAAGGGGATGGAAGGCAGGGCTACTTGCTGTGACATGGCAGCTCCCAAGCCCGACAGAGCACAGTGCTGCCAGCCAGATGATGTGTGCAAGCACTGAGGGACTTGAGACATGCTACAAAATCACAGGGTGTTGAACTCTCCTTCAGATGGAGGAAAAAGTGAACCTGAGATGAATCTCAGCTGAGATTTTTCTTTCCTTTTTTATTTTTTTTCAGCTGAAGTATAAATGATCTAAAATGGAAGGTCCTGTTCTGTTATTAAGCTGACCTGTAGCTATCTGTAGCAGGCTAATTGAGTTCTCTGTTACATTCTGCACTTTTTAGTTTGTGTCATAAAGCTCCTGCTTTTGCTGATGGACTGTATTGATTTTATTTCTTCTAAATTATGCAAAATCTTTCCACAAAGGAAGAAACAGAGGTTAGAGCAGAATAGACACTAAAATGCTTTGCATTTTGCATTCAATTTCACTTTTTTTTTTTTTTTTTTTCTTTATAGAAGTGAAACTTTGCTGGTTTTCTTATACTAAAAGCCTGGCATTACTTGGACTATGCAGACTTTGAGGAAGCTGTTGGTACTTTGCTCACAGTTCCCTTCAACAGGCCTGTGCACCCCAGGAGCCTGATGTGCCTTACTTCAGACTTCTAAAACAGTTGGACTTTCTGGGAGATAAATTCATCTTTGCTCTCCCATCTGCTGCAACGTCTCTTTATGGTTAAATCCATGCTTTGGACTTCAGAGAACTAAACTTGGTGGCTAGCCAGGACAGACAAACTAGGCTTGTAAAAGCAGAGCATATAAGAACAAATACAGGACGCAGGATGGTTTTTGAAGAATAAATTGAAGGGAAACAAGTGTCCCATGACTCTGAAAGCTGAGAACTTTTGCCAGAAGTAGATGACAGCACTGGGGATTAAGGTGAGTTTTCAGTTTTGGGCAAGGATGGTTCTACTTTGGGGAAAAGAAACACTGCAAAAGCCCTGTCTCACTCAGTGCCAGGTGCCACAGCTCAAGGATAATTAGTATGATGGCAGTCTGGAGGACAAAAGAGAATCTAAATTCTTAGTATCTAGGATTGTTCCCTTACACATCTGATTTGAAAATAATGGACTGATGAAGATAAAATTGAATGAACTGTATATTTCTTGACAAGTGGCAAGCATGTAGGCAAGCACAGCATGTATCCAGGGAACTGAGGTCAATCTTGGTTTGTGATAAATAGAAGAGAGTCTTCCATGCTGAAGATCTCCAAAAGCCACCTGGATGTGGGCCTGGGCACCCTGCTCTGGGTGGCCTTGCTGGAGCAGAGGTTTGGACTTGAAAATGTCCAGAGGTCACCTGCCCACCTCAGCCATTCTGTGATTCTGTGATATGATGATTCTGCACTTCTGTGCTCCTACACTCTTCAGAACTTGTGCAGATGGGCCTCTGATAGGCTGATGGTCCCTGTGATGGTTCTGGGAAGAGCTCAGAGGGTTGTTTCTTGAGCTCTCCTTCTGCCACCAACCCCTTGAGCTCCTTTGTAGGTGTGCAATGCATTCTAACAATCTGTATAGGACTGTGGTTTCTGACGGGGACCTGTGGGCACTGCTGCAGAATGGAGAAGCTAGGACACTTCTTTAGAAACATCCTTAAGGCATAATTTAGCATGCTAGCATACAGGAGAGTTCATATGCAGCTCTGCCTTGGTGATATACTGTGGCTTGTGGTCTGCTGACTACCTGTCTGTTTTTCTGCTTTCTTCCCCTCCAGATCACAACATTTCTTCTGGAAGAGCAAGCTCTGATGGGAACAAGAATGCTCAGGATGCCCAACTGCCTGCTAAAGCTGACCCGGGTGGTGCTGGGCCACAAGCTCAGAATTCTCTTCATCATTGCCTTTAAGTTCATGTCCTTTGTCTCCATCGTGTTGTACTGGAGGATCACAGAGGACTCTAAGGGCAAGGACCAAGTCTACTTGCCTGTTCAGATCCGCTGTGCTCACTCTGTTCCATCTCCTCCCTGCGCCGTTGCTGATGAACCTCCTCCTCCCCCAGGAGATGTGTTTTTTGTGGAGACCTCTGAACGAACCAACCCAAATTACCTATTCATGTGCTCTGTGGAGTCAGCTGCCCGGACACATCCAGGGACGAGGGTCGTGGTGCTCATGAAAGGCCTGGCAAACAGAAATGCCTCATTACCCAACCACTGGGGCTTCTCATTGCTGAGCTGCTTCCCCAATGTGGAAATCCGTCCCTTGGATTTGTTGGAGCTATTCTCTGGGACACCTCTAGCAAAGTGGTACTTGCAGGCTCAGCAGCGCTGGGAACCTTATTTCTTACCCATCCTGTCTGATGCCTGCAGAATTGCCATCATGTGGAAATTTGGGGGCATCTACCTGGACACAGACTTCATTGTGCTTAAGAACTTAAAGAACCTCACCAATGTGCTTGGCACCCAGTCCAAGTATGTACTGAATGGAGCCTTTCTGTCCTTTACACCCAAACACAAGTTCATAGAGCTTTGTATGCAGGACTTTGTGGAGAACTACAACAGCTGGATCTGGGGGCATCAAGGCCCACAGCTCCTAACGCGTGTCTTTAAGAAGTGGTGTTCCATCAGGAGTCTTCGGAGCAGTAAGAGCTGCAAAGGGGTGAGTGCTCTGCCCCGAGAGGCTTTTTATCCCATTCGGTGGCAGGACTGGAAGAAATACTTTGAGGCGGTCAGCTCCACTGAGCTGAATGAACTCCTGAAGAATACCTATGCTGTGCATGTATGGAACAAGAAGAGCCAAGGGACAAGGCTAGAGATCACATCGCAGGCTTTGTTGGCTCAGCTGCATTCTCATTTCTGCCCTGCCACATATGATGTCTTGAAGATGGACTTTAAATGGCACTGACTCTAAGGGTCAGCTAACAGACATTGTGTGGGACCTTCAACTGTTCCATTTCAGATAAACTTCTTTTGAAGTGAAGGTGGTGGGAGTTGAGGATAAAAGCCATTTGTGGGGTTTAGATGGAGCCTGTATTTTCAGCCCATCTGTGCAGCTTTATCTTGACTTTAACAATATTTTGGTTCTCTGCAGGACCTTCCTTCTGCTCTCCTCAGTTAGGTGGAGGAAACTCAGGATGAGGAGTGAGTGCTGGGCCACTTGTGGCAGCCTCTATAAACTTCTTGAAGAATAAGACTCCTTTCTGTAGCTCCAGATCTGGAAGGGGCCTTGTAGAAATGTGTATCTCATCCTCTGTCACTGCCTCAAAGCTATAAAAGGATGGGAGAGCAAAGAACAGGAACTGAAGAGGTTAAGGGTGTGTTTGAAGAGGTGTCTAAAGAAAAAATGTGAAGGAAAACAGAGATGAAAGGAGAAATGGCTAAAGTCTTTTTCTTTTCATTCCTTTTTTCTCTGAAGACTTTGATGGAAGAGACTTTCTCATGACACTCGTCCAAGGAGAGAGCAGGACACTGGAGTCTCTTCAGTGTTGTGTGTCTAAAGATTTGCTTGGAAATCTGGCATGAATCAGAATGTGAGGATCTGAGTCTAGTTCATCATTTGGAAGGAGTTCTTGCATAGCAGTGATTTGTGTTATAGTAATAGCAAATTAACATCCTGTAATGAGCAGGAGAGCTCTCCCAAATCACATCTTAAATTGCACATAACACAGGAAGAGCTGAACTGTCTTTTACACTGGGCTTGTAAGTGTGACCAAATTTCCATAACTGTATCTATGATCTTTCAGTGCTTAAACGGATCCTAAAGGGAAAGAAGTGATACTTCCAAGTATTCCCAAAGTTACAGAGAGTGTGGTGGAAACCTTTACTGTCTAAATTCCAGTTCAGGAACTGAGTCATTTATGATGGACTTCTTCAGGTAGCCTGGAGCCCTCCTAGTTCACTATTCATTGTGCAGGAGTGTAAATCTCCCCTGGGAAGTTTGGAGAAGTGCAGTGAAAAGATTTACTCTTCTCCTCTGAGCACTTCACTGAATTATGATGGAGAAAGTTAATGTATCACTCTTATGGTGCTGTTGTGTCTTTAATGGTTCCACCATGGAGGCAAATTTGTTGGACACACGATGGCAAAAAAAATTGTCCTTTGCTTTGATAGTCAAAAGGATGTATTGGTGCTCTTACAGTTCATTATATAAAAATATCAGAGAAAGAGCAGCAGGAGGCAAAAGTAAGGTAGAAACCGTAAGCTTTCTTATATCTGTTCCTCACCACAACCTAAAGGGGTTTTCTTGGGCTCATGAGCTGACACTACAGTGGGGTTGACAGAGGTGAACAAAGTATTGGCCATCCCCTCTCCTACATTGATCTCATCGTAAAATCTTTTCTGCCTTTAGTCTGAGGATCTTCTTATCCCTAGAAATAGCAGTGAGGTACTCCAGTGACCCATCTGGTGGCCATGAGTCAGTGAGATTTCCAGTGTCATGAAGCCTCATAGCAAGAGCTCTTAAAAGAGTGCTACCTTCAAGTCCTCTGAGAGTGAGGTAGATGATTGCTAGGTTTGCAGTTTTCTGAGGCCTCTTCTGTTTCCCATGTCAAATAGAAGCAAGGTGAGGTTTGTTCAACATAGCCAAAAGTAAAAGACTGCGTGCAATGACAACATTTCTCAGGTTGTCTTGGGTTTATTTCTCTTTTTTTGGAGGATAAAAACAAGAAAGTCAAATTGCCTATCACTTTTCCACAGCAGTTCCCTGTCCCCTTTGGGCTTTGGGAGCTGAGGAGGCTGTGCACCTTTTGTTTATTTGCATGCTGAGCTGTCTGACTGGGAGCTGCTGCTGCTCTGCAATGAAAGCTACCTGCCTACCTGTTGGGCAAGGCAGGAGCTCTGTGCACAAGCAGCTGCTCTGGGATGAAGAAGGTGTTGGAAACACCCTTCCACTGGGTGTGGAACGTGTACATATATATTTAATGCTGTGTCACGGTTTTGGCTGGGGTGGAGTTCTTTCCCTGTAGCAGCCCATATAGTGCTGTGCTCTCCATATCTAGCTGGAACAGCATTGATATTACATTGATGTTTTGTCTGTGCTTTTATGGCAACAAAACTCTCTCCACTCCCCCAGGGGCGGCAGGCTGGGGGTAAGCAAGAGATTGGGATGGGACACTGCCAGGACAACTGATCTAAACTGACTGAAGGGGCATTCCATGCTGCATTACATGACACTCAGCAATAAAAGAAGAAGATGGAGGGGCTCTTGTTATGATGTCTGTCCTCCTGAACAACTGTGTCATATATTGAGGCCCTGCTTCCCAAGATGTGTCCAAACATTGCTTGTTGATGGAGAGTAGTGAAGAATTGTTCTCTTTCTCTTTGCTTCTGCACAGCCTTTGTTTGTTTTTCTCTTTTTTTCCCCTTCAATTAAATTGTCTTTATCTCAACTTGTGAGCTTTTTTTTTTTCCCGCTCCTATTTTCTCTCTGAGTTCCTTTGAGACAGGGGAGTGAGAGAGCAGTGTGGTGGAATTCAACCAACCATCAGTGCAAAACCACCACATGCTGCCCCCTTGTTCTGCTTAGCTTTATGGCATATGCTGGAGACATTCATGATTTTGAATCTGCAAACACAGAACATCTTTAAGAACAACAGCTTTGTGGAGAGCAGCAGATCTTCATGACTGTTTAAGTGGTCTTAACCACAAAAAATACTATAAATGGGTGATATTTTCACTTCATGCTCTATCTACACCTATTCATTTCCCCTCCCACACACTGCTTTCTTTAGAAGCAGCCACAGAATCATCAACTCTGGCTTAGTCTGTGGCCAGTGGAACATCTTTTCTCCTTCTAATGATTGTTTCTGATTTGGGCTCTTTATGCTAAGCAACAAAAACTGCAGTGAGCCAGGAACCAGGGAAGGTAAAATGGTGTTTCATGATTGTAAAGCCTCAACAGAATCTTTACTGTGGCGATATCAGGGATTGATTACAGACATGTTTGGGACCTACTAAATATTTGACTTGGTGTACTGCTGCTTACTCTAAGGAAGTGCCTTTTTGCATAAGTGAAATGTTTTTGTTGTTCTTGTTTTTTGTTTTTGTTTTTGTGTGTGTGTTTGTGTTTTTCCCTGTAGAGTCAGTATTCCGAGGTTATAAGCAGAGAATCAAACCAAAGCAGTCTTTGACCCTCCATCTTGTGAAAGCAAAATAAATACAGTTTTATTATTTCTTCTCTCTACCATTTTGTTCTGTGATGCGTTGGTGGCAGGTCTGAACAATCTGTTCGTTACTATGCAGAAAAGTATTTTAAAGTCGTGTCCAGAAATGGCTCGATAAAATTAAGAGAGTGGAATGAGAGTAAGGTAAGTTGAGTATAATTACATGGGGAATGGAGGCTCTGGGGACCCCAACTACAATATTTGGGACCTGAAGGGAGGGTGCAGAGAAAAGTGTGATACAGTTTCCTAATTCAACCATGTTGGAATCTCTTTGGCCAATTTGTGTTTGTGTCATCTGCCTGGTTTTGTCCCCTCCTAACCTCAGATAAACACCCCTAGTGTGTTTACTGGGGGAGCAGAGAGGGAAATAGAGAAGTGTTGATCAGCAACACCTAAAACATTGGCATTGTTTTGGTCACAAATCTAAAGCATGTCTCCATGGGAGATGCTATGAGAAAAATCAGCTCTATCCCAGCCAGACCCAGTACAGATGAATAAGTGACTGAAACACTGACATGTGAAGAAAGGCTGAGAGAACTCAGATCATTTTTCCTGGAGAAGATCAGGCTTGGTGGTCAGATCTTTTCCCTGTTTATAAATATTTGATTGGAGATGGAGGTTAAGAGGCACGGATACAGCTTGGCTGGAGAATAGCTTGAGAGCAGCCCTGAGGGGAAGGATTTGGGAATGTCAGTTGATGAAAAGACTCAACATGAGCTGGCAATGTCTGCTTGCAGCCCAGAAGGCCAACTGTATCCTGGTTTGCATTAAGAGAAGTGTGACCAGCAGGTCGAGGGAGGGGATTCTGCCCATCTACTCTGCTCTTGTAAGACCTGGAGTACTGCGTCCAGTTCTGGAGCCCTCAGTGTGAGAAAGACATGGGCTTGTTGGAACAGGTCCAGAGGAGGGCCACGAAGATATTCAGAGGCTGGAGCACCTCCCCAGTGAGGACAGGCTGGGAGCTGGGGCTCTTCAGCCTGGAGAAGACCCTGAGGAGACCTGATAGCGGCCTTCTGGTACCTGAAGGGGGCCTACAGGAAAGCTGGGGAGGGACTTTTTGTAAAGGCATGTAGCAACAGAACAAGAGGGAATGGCTTTTAAACTGGAAGAGTAAATTTAGACTAGATATCAGGAAGAAATTCTTTACTGTGGGGCTGGTGAGACACTGGAACAGGTTGCCCCCCTACAGGGGAGTTGAACAGGTTGCCCCCCTACAGGGGGAGTTGAAATTAGATGATCTTAATGGTTCTTTCCAACCTAAACCATTCAATGATTCTATGAAACACAAAAAATGTCTATTTTATGGATGAATTAAAGGCAAATACATTAAAGCTATGTGTGGTAGAGGTCCTAGTTTAGACTAATTGCTATCTGATAATATGTAATCCTTTAATTTTAAAGCCTTGAGTTCACAAAACAGTCATATTAATTTACAGAATTCCTATTTTTTAATCTTTTATGGTTTCAGACCTGCTTACTTAAAGAAATACAACAGTTTTGTAGAGAACAGTGAGCCAGTAATTATGCTCTTCTGGCCAACTCATGACAACAAGAAAATCCATTTAGTCCAGGATTCTTATGTCTTGAGCACCTCAGTGTTTCTCTTTGGAAATGTTTCTACAAAAGAAGCCTATCCAGAAAGTTTTAGACTATATATTAGGAAGAAATTATTTACAGTGAGAGTGGTGAGACACTGGAACAGGTTGTCCAGAAAGGTTGTGAATGCTTCCTCCCTGGAAGCATTGAAAGCCAGGCTGAATGGGGCTTTGAGCAACCTCGTCTAGAAAAAAGGTGTCTCTGCCTATAGCAGGGCATTGAAATTAGATGATCTTAAAGCTCCCTTCCAACCCAAACCATTCTATGATTCTATGATTCAACCAAACAAGGTTTTGCCCTTGGGTCGAAGTAATCCAGATACATATGGAAACTGAGAGAAGAACTGCTGAAAAGACCTTTGGGGTCCTGGCTGATTAAAATTTCAACAGGAGCCAGTAGTGTGTGCTTGCTGCCCAAAAGGCCAATGGTATCCTGGGTTCCATCAGAAGAGGGGTGGCCAGCAGGGCAAGGGAGGGGATTGCCCACACTTTTCTGCCCTCAGATGGCCCCTGCTGGAGTACTGCATCCAAGTCTGGGGCCCCCAGCACTGGAAAGATGTGGAGCTTCTGGAGAGGGTCCAGAGATAGGCTATGAAGATTATCCAAGGGCTGGAGCACATCTCCTGTGAAGATAGGCTGAAAGGACAGGGCTTGTTCAGACTGAATAAGACTGTAGGGTGATCTCATTGTGGCCTTCCAACTTTTAAAGGGAGATTATAAACAGGAGAGAAATCAACTTTTTATGAGAGTAGATAGTGATAAGACGAGGATGGTTTTTAATTAGGGAGATTAAGATTAGATGTCAGGGGGATCTTTGCTACTGCAATAGTGGTGAGGTGCAGGATCAGGTTGCCTAAAGAAGCTGTGGATGCTCCAGCCCCAAAGGTGTTTAAGGCCAGATTGAATGGGGCCTTGGGCAATCTGATCTAGTACTTGCTCTAGTGGCTGGCAACCCTGCCAGTGGTAGGGGGTTTGAAACTTGGTGATCCTTGAGGTCCCTCCCAACCCAAGCTGTTCCATGGTTCTGTGATTAGGAGGATCTTTCCAGATCCTTTTGGGTTGAATAGAACCATAATGATCATCTAGTTTCAATCCCCTGCTAAGTGCAGGGTTGCCAACCACTAGACCAGAGCCACATCCAGCCTGGCCTTGAATGCCTCCAGGGATGGGGCATCCATAACCTCCTAGGGCAACCTGTTCCAGTGCATCACCACCTTCTCTGAAAAATTTCCTCCTAATATCTAATCTAAACCGCCCCTGTCTCTTAGTTTAAAACCATTCCCACTTGTCCTATCACTATCCACCCTCATAAACAGTCGAACCCTCTCCTGTTTATAAGCTCCCTTCAAATATTGGAAGGCCACAATAAGGTCTCCCCAGAGCCTTCTCTTCCCCAAGCTAAACAAGCCCAGTTCCCTCAACCTTTCTTCACAGGAGAGGTGCTCCAGCCCTCTGATCGTCTTAGACACTCCAAGAGTTCCACATCTTTCTTGTGCTGGGACATAAATGTTGTACAAATATTACCCAATTTTTTACTGAACAGCAAAGAATCTAGAGTGTAATGCTTAGAGAAAAGCATTCCACTGGTGTTAGAAGCACTGCTACTGTTGCCTGTTGAGAGATAAAACACAAATTCAATCTGAGATTTCAACATGAAATGAATGAATGACTTTACAAATGGACATGACAACTGAAAAGGTTTATTATTGAATCATTTTATTTCCAGATAAGTGTTAAATATGTAAACAAAGGGGTATGAGAACTAAAAAGGTTAATTACTGATAGCTGTTATTTCTGCAACTAATCACCTATGAGCTACATGTAAGTAAGGGACATGTAAGTAAGGGCTTCTGTCCCGCTGTCTGCAGTGGGTCCTGCACTATGGGGCCGTCTCATGGCCTGCGTCTGCCCGGTGCTGGCTGCAGGTGCACGTTGGGCAGTGCGGGGCTGCACGGGGCTGCCAGTCCGGTGGCATCATCATGGCTGCTGCCCTCATGGCCATTGCAAAGCAGGAGCCAAGGAAATTCAAGGCGGCCCAGGGAGCCTGCAGCTGTGGTGTTTCTGGGGGCTGCAGGAGCTCCTGCTGAGGATGGCCAGGTGTGAAAGAGGGGAGCAGGAAGGGCAGAGCCTGGCACTGTTCCAGTGCTGGTGCTGCAGCAGGGCCTGGCAGGATGTGAGCAGCACCTCCTTGAGCTTGGAGGTTGTTATTCTTAGGGCGCTTGGCTGGCGGGGGCCCCATGGGTGCTGCTGCCTGCGTGCATTCTTGCTCTGCTGCTTGCAGGCTCATCTCTGGCCCAGCAGCCACTCCCTGCATGGGCCGGGCATCTGGGCTGCTCCTCTGGGGGCTCTCATTCAGAGCCTCCTGTAGGGCAGGGGTAGGGGCAGCCATGTCTCTTCTCTTGTGGGCTACTCTTCGTTTGCAGTATCCCAGCAGCTGCGGGTAATCTCTTCTGAAGTGTGGGTTGGAATAGAGGAGTAACTGAAAAATAGAAGGGAGAAGAGTTAGATGCTGTCAGCGTGGGGCTGAAGGACAGCATGATACAGGAAATTGGACTTCTAATAGCTCAGGGCAAATGTAGGTATTAACAAGGCTTATTGGTATCTTAGTTTCAGCTGGAATGGAACTGTATTCTTCAGAGTGTTGGTATGATGCTATGGTTTGGTTCTAGGAGTAAAACAATGTTGCTGAGTAAAACAGCACACTGATGTCTGTAGTTGCTGCTAAGCAGTGCTGGTCAAAGCCAAGGCCATTCTCAGCAAAGGGCCCAAGGAACTGGGAGGGAACAGGATTAGGACAGCTGATGTAAAGGGATATTCCATGCCACATGACATCATACAGAAGAACTTCTGAAGAGGCTGCTGAGCCTCAGCTGTGGGCTAGTGAGCAATTTCTTATTCACCTCTTGTTACGTATATCTATCTCAACCCATGAGTTATCCTTTTTCCCCCAGTTCTCTCCCCCATCCCACTGAGATGGGGGAAATTGAGTGCATGGTGCTGAGCTATCTGTGGGGTATGACCACACCAATAAGTCAACTTAATCCTACAGCTTAGGCTGACTAAGACAAAAGATATTTTGCAAATACATTGAAATAAATGAGTTTGTCATATCCTGATTTATTTATTTTTCCATTCCATGGGTTCAAACTCGGGTACAGCCCAAATATTTTGTATTTCTACTACTACTACCCAGCAGTGCTACCTCTGAAATACCTGAAACATGCAGAGAAAGAAATTAAGATCAGACTGTTTGTTGTCATGCACCCCTCCTCTATGACCAAAGCATATTTTAATGGAACCTCCTTCTCTCCAAGTTCTGCAAGAGCTAGTTAGTATGGGGAACAATTTAGGTACTTACCTTCCTATGGACAGCAAATGCTTCTTCCTCGGCCAGAAATTGAGGAAGGAAAGATCCTTCCAAGTGCCGTGGCACTTTGGTGAAGCCATACAGGTTCAGCTGGCGAACAAAGCTCTTCATGCAGGTACTCTCAAAGGCTCTCACAGGTGCTTCCCTTGCCAGAACTTCCAACATGAACATTTCTTTCTGGATTACAATGCAGTTTCCTCCGTGACCCCACTGAATGCTCTTCACTTGGTCACTTTCCACCAGTACCCAGAGTTTTTGTGGGAAGCTAAGGGATGAGAAGACCCTGGCTAGGCCAGTGCTTTCTTCAGACAAACTGCGAGGTAAACCTTTGGTTTCCTCTTCTTCTGGAAACACCTGTGAGTCCTGTTCTTCCTGTATTGATGTTCCAGCAGCATGGCCAGCTGGTGCTTGATCGTGTCCTGTAGGGTCAGTAAAAGTGGAGCCTGAAGTCTCAATCAGCTCCTCAGGACCAGCAGCAGAAGCTGTTTCTGCTGCAGACGACTCCATTTCAATATCTCCTGTCTCGCTTTGTCCAAAGGTTGCACATGCAGCCATCTGTGCAGCGAGCCAGTGTTCGCCCTGCCTGCTGGCAAGGGAAATCCACCGGCACTGCCTGGGTGTTCCAGTGGGAGATGCTCAGACATCACTGTGGTGCCCTTGTGTCATCACAGTGACACCAACGTGTGCTGCCCGAGGCCGGGCTGGCTGGAGCTGCCTGAGCTGATGTCACTGAGTAGCACTTGTTGCTGGTTGCTGGTCTGAGCCATTGCTGTTTGAACTTGAGTTGAGAGTCAAATAAAGCTGTATTGTAAGGAGATCATCCCTCACTGAGGCCTTGCTTGCCCTTTCCTGTGTGCTCCTGTGAGTAGCTCCCTGCTGGCCTCCCAAGTGTACCTCTGCTTCTGGAGATGGGCTTGGAAATCAGTTTCCCAAGCACTGGTAACAGAAGACAATAGCAGCCTCTTCCCAGTTTGTGGCCACCTCTTGCCAATGCTGAGTGATTTCCACAGCAGAACTTGTGCAATGGAGTAGCTGTGTGCCCAGGCAATGCTCTGCAATGTCAGCAGTGGTGCAGAGGCTGCTCTGTAGGCCCAACTTGAACAAAGACACTGAATGCACTTTGCTGATGGTGTAAACTGGAAGTGTGCAACCCCTCCATGGTTTATTTCATTTTATTTTGGTATTTTAGAGATAGAGAAGGCGAGCCAACAAAATCAGGAATGTTCTCTAAATCACACCCCTCTGTACAGGATTAAGTGCAGTATCATTCTATGATTCTTTGATTTTAAGAAGGAAAACTAGATTCTTCTCTGGAGAATCCACTGATAGAATGAGGGTATGACTGAAACCAAACAGTGGTTGAACACTGGAACACTGGAATAGGTTGTCCAGATAGGTTATGGAGTCTCAAGATTTGGTCAAAACCTAAGGCAGTGCTGCTCCAAGCAACCTGCTCTAGATGACTCTGCAGGGTGTATGGACTAGATGATCTCCAGTCTTTCTGTTATTCTGTGACTAGATGGAGCCTTCCTCGAGTCCTGAAGAGTTCCAGCAATGAAAAGGCTGAGAATAGGTGTAGGTGCTTTCCAAGCAGCTTTCCCAGCATTGACATCTTAAGAGTCAGTCTATGGTTCTGTAGTGCTTTGAAGGATTTGGAAGATCTGGGGAGGAGAGAGTTGGTCTGGGGAGCTATGGGGGAGCATTAGAGTCAATATGTGTTGCAGGCACTTGAGTATAAACTACAGTAAACATAAAACTTAGTGTCTGTATGGGCAAAAGGGGCATTTTATGAACACATAAACATGCCTTCTGTAAAAGATGGTCGGCAGTCAACGAGATCGGGGCAGAGTGGAAATCTATCAGAAAAGGAGAGCAGCAGTGGAATTTGAAGTGTTCATCTCTTTGGAGCTTCAAGAAATCCTTAGGAATACTTGTGTGGTGAACATAACAGAAAAAGAGTTGAAGGGACAAGGCTAGAAATCACACCACAGGCTTTGCTGGCTCAGGTGTATTTTCACTTCTGAACTGCCACGCATGAAAGTATGAAGAAGTACTCTGAGGAGCAATAAAATCCTGTAATGGGATCTGACTGCTCTGGGCTTCTGGGAAGTTCCCAAACTGAATGCTTTTAATTGAATGTTGAAAGTCAACAGCTGTAGAAACTCTTGACTTGCTCTGTGTAACATTTTAAAGTATGTAAATAAATGTCAGCCGGTGCTATAGGGCATATTTTAGAGAAGCTTAGGACCAGATTTCCAGGCTGTAAAAGTAATTATGGCTGATCAAGTTTTGGGATATACAGGGAAAATAGAAATATTTATTTAAGAAACCGCAAGTATTTTAAATCTCTGCTCAGCTCTTGCTTGCCATGGGCACTTTATTTCAAACAATCTGTTCTACTGTTTTATATTCCACAGCAATAGGTTGGCTTTTCTAGTCTCCTTCAGAAAAAAAAAACAAAAAAAAACAAACCAAACCAAACCAAAACAACAACAACAAAAACAAGTGGCTCAAAGCACTACTTCTACCAGCAACCTCAAATTCACACACACACTTTTCATCATGTCTAGAAACATGTATCATATGACTAAATCTCTCAGGTACCTGTATTTAAATTCGGATAAATTGTCAGGAGTGTGTTTGTCTAGCTTTTCTTAGCCATATGTATTTGTTTTATTTAGAAGAATTCTTCCATAGAAGTATCTCCATCAAATGTTAAGCTGTCTATGAAAGATCAGGCTAAAAAAAAAAAAAAGATACAGGATCAAAAGTACAACTTAACATCCGTGCCTTGTAATTCTTATTTAAAACTGAATAGTGAATATCAGCATCTATATACAGTAACTCACTATGGTTCTGAAAAAGGATCAGCTACTAATGGGATGATCCTTTTATGTATGTCTGAGTTTCTTTTTCTCGGACATTACTCTGTACTTGCTGTTTCTTCACTATGCAGAAATCCCACTGCACTTATCCTAACTCAGCTCCAAAATGGAGCCCTCAATACTGGCAATTCTGTAGGACTAACAATAGCACATGAATGTTCCCAAATGGTGAATGTAAACAGAGCAAGCCTGTGGCTTTCTTCTCTGACTTTTTTCTTGCCACACCTCATTAAGATAAAGGCACAATAGCTCTTAAGCTTTAAAATCTAATACTTTCATTACCTGGTAGAAATGCAAATACCTGGCAGAAGGGAGAGGCAGTCCTGGTGTAAAGTTGTAGTTGATATGGGTTCTTTGAAATTATATCAATAAGAGTACCAAGCTGATAATTCCTCTGTGACCAATTTTAGTGGGGCCATCACTGTTTTGTTATTGTTTCTTCAATGGATATTGCCTTTACTAAGTGATTTCGGTTTCAGGTTCAAGAAAGAACAACAAATGTGACAGAAGCCAAAGGAACGTGGCTGTGCTGTGCTCCTTGCATGCTTGTGTTTGGCTGAGATGTTTAAAGACAAAAGGCAGCAGAGGTCAAATCAAGCTCCAACTAAAGCTCATAAATTGATTTACACTAATTATATGCTCTGTTTCTCATACCATTAAGTCATGCAATGAACATAAACTGAGTTACAAAGCTGTTACTGGAGACTGATATCTCGCTACCCTATATGGAGGGCATTTTAGGAAAACTTTTTTCTTGCCCTCTATATATTCACTGTCCTTTGAAGAGTGGGAGATGATGTGGCTACAGCTTCTGTAGGCAGTAACACGTTCTTAGCTTTCTGACTTCAGGCCTGAGTTGGAGAGAAATGGCCTATAGATTAAGTGCTCACTGGGCACCTTGTGAGAAAGCTCAGAACAAGTGCCATCTGATTTTGGCATTTCCTCCTTTATCATTTTCTGCTCTTACAAAATGCTGTCATGTATGTTTTCACATTTTGTTTCCTTGTGTTTTTCTCATTTACAGTAAAGTTATCCTTTCTAATTATCTTCTTAAGAAATTCACCAGGGAACTTGCTTCATTTCAAAGATTGTTTAAGCATCACACTATCCCCTCTTGCTTTCAGAACCCATATGCTGACAAAGTGAAAGGAAAGTGCCTCTATCAAAATACAATGAGATGGCCCAGGCCCATTTCTGCATCTCGTTTGCATTACAATTGTCCTGCATTTTCTGAAACTGTATCTCAAGGCATATATACAGCCTCCTGAAAGATTTGCTTAATGGGGGATTTAAACCTACACTGCATTTTCAGCAGCTCCATGCAAAACGTGACATAGCACTCACTCCATCCTGAGGGCCCGGTGCTGGCAGTACATTGGTCATAGACTGCCTCTTGACCCTACCAGCCCCACTTGTGCTGGCTGCACATTGAGAGCTCATCGACCTCCAGGCAAGAAAAAGAAATATCTCCATGAATACATTCCCCTCAGGTCAGTTCTTCATAACAATGCTCTCTGCATTTGTTTCACTATTCAAGAGGCCTAACCAGCTGAGAGTAACAAAGCTACAAAAATTCTTGAATTCTCTTGCACAAACAGCTTGCAGGGCTGAAATAACTGCTTTTGGAGCAGGCCAAGGTGAAGGCAAGGCAGAAGCAGCAAAAGCTGCTCCAGATTTAACTTAGCTTTGGGCATTGTTCCATGTATCCTGAGGCCTTGTGCTTTTTTCACAGAACAATTTGTGGAACCAGGGGTGTGTTTGTCACAGCGGGAGGTGGCTGAGGAAAGGCAGCTGGTGTGATTTTGCTCTTGGTGCCCTCCAGCTGAAGCACTTGGAGCTGCTGACGGGTATCCCTGCCTGTGCCCTCGGCCAGGCCAGTGCTTACATCTAGAAGGGGTGGATCAGGCCTTGTTATCCTATGATCCCATGCTATCTCAGCAGCACGGATTGGAATACGACGTAGGGGAAGCATCTCTTGATGCTTTTGAGATTTCACAGAGGAAGAGCAGTCCAAAGCCACTGAAGGGTGGAGAGATTTAATGGCTCAATCCCACACCTGCTTCCAGAGCCAGCACACAGTGCTGGAGGAGGTGCTCACCAAGGGGCTGCATCTCTTAGAGCCAATCCAGTCGGTCAGCTTCCACACTGACTTTATTTTAGAAGCCTGTCACCCTTTGGCAGCCACCACTTGTTAGCTGTTCAGTTAGGTATTTTTTAATGCTCTCTTGACTCTGTCATCCACTCCTGTCTTTGTTTCATTGTCTTGCTGGCTGTAATGTAGGTATTCTCTCACTTAAAAGCTCAGCAACAATTTTTCTCCCTGAAGCGAAGCCAAGATTACACATCTGTGCATCACAAAGCCAAGCCTTGATCACGGGGCTCTGGGTTACAGTTCCTGGCTTGGTGGCTGGTATGTTCAATACTGACCTTAGGCTACCGTTTATTTTATTTAGGGAGGCTGAAGCTGAATGATGTTGCCATGACTGGCTAATGATTTTCTCTTTGTGATCATTTCTTACGTATTTTATTGCTTCTCTCTCTTCTGTAATGCAGACAGAGACTTTACATTTCTTTCTATATAACTTCAGTGAGAGTGATTGGATCTACAGCCACATTCTGTGCAATACTGTGGGAATCAAATGATATAAAAATGGTCATACTGCTTTTCTCTTTTTTTTTTTCTTTGTAGAAACTTGATACTACCATTCTTTCCTGTGAATTGATTTTAAATTCTTCTTACTCCATTGAATGCCTATTCACATATTACAACTATACTAGTAGGTATTTTTGTCATTCTTTCTTTTATTCCAGGAGAAAACTTGGTTCTGGAAAAGGAAAGTAAAGCTGACTATTACAGATTAATAGGAAACATAAATTTGTGATAAAGTACAGGATATCCAGTTAAGAGGCAGGCGATGTGAGTGTCCTATGTGTAAAGCGGTGAATCTTATGTCACAGTCAAATATACCCATCACAATTATGACATTTACTTGCACTCATCTCAAATATTCCCACATGCTTAGGCTGCTGCTCCGTTCCGGGGTCAGAAGGAAGCTTGAACTGTAAAGCCATTGCTTTCACACCTAAATTCTAGAGCATGGGTGTCCAATCTTTTGTCTTGCCTGGGCTTCATTGAGTGAAGAGGAATGATCTTGGGCCGCATATATGTAGTTAACTCCAGAAGTAATGCCTCCTATTGATTTCCATGGAAACTACAACAGATACAAAGAGCACAGTAACACTATTTGATAGAGCACATCATCTGCAACACTGTTTTTCAACATAGTCACCACCACTAACTATGCATTTTTGCCAGCAAGGTACAACAGCCTGCATGCCCCTTTCTGGACGCTCTCTAGGGCCTGATAGATTCAACCTTGAATATATTTTTATAGATTACATCAGTCTCAGCTCTCTTTAGGAGAATAAGTCAAGTACTGCTGAATTTAGTGATGTCCGTTTGAGTAAGCGTGGGGGTATATGAATAGGAAAACACAGAAGGTATATATGAATTTGCTGCAAATTCAGAAACAAAAACAGAGGGGGAAAAGTTCCACAAGCAGCCTAACAGGAGTGCTTTTGGAGCCCACTAGAAAACAGACAAATGTTTTCTCTGGTTTTATATTACCAACAAAACTGTAAGAGGTAAGATTTGATAATGCCAAATCCAGGGAGTGACTAATCAGTCTGTTGGCAGTAGAAGAGCAGAGCAGTGCCAACTGTGGATGCCACACCAGATAAACCGTGTAGGGCAGGCATGCCCAACCTGCAGCCCACAGGCTACATGCATCCTGACACACCTCACACTGTAGTTGCCTCACTGAGAGGCCTGGCCTAGCCTTCAGTACGCACCCATTGCTGAAACTCTCTGAAAGGAGGTTGTGACGAGGTTGGGGTCAGCCTCTTTTTCAGTGGATAAGACAAGAGGAAGTGGCTTCAAATTGTGCCAGGGGAAGTTCTGGTTGGATATTAGGAAAAAATTCTTCTTGGAGTGATCAGATATTGGAACAGGCTGCCCAAAGGAGGTGGTGAGGTGGTGGGGTCACCATCCCTGGAGATGTTCAAGAAACGTGTAGATATGTGATCTTAAAGATCTTTTCTATCTGTAATAATTCTATAATACTATGATTCTTTTGCTGTGTTTTTATTTGATGTATCATCAATCTAGCTTTTGAATACTTATAATGCATGGGTGTCCAACCTTTTGGCTTGCCTGGGCCACACTGAATGAATAGGAATTGTCTTGGGCTGCATACACAAAGGTTGCTCCAAAACTAATGCCTCCTATTTATTTCCATGGAAACTACAATTGATACAAAGAGCACAATACCACTGCTTCATAGAGCAAATTCTCAGCTATAAAATGCTATTTTTCAACATTGCCATTAACTGTGCATTTTCACCAGCAATGAATAAGAGCCTGCCAGTACTCACCACCTCACTGTACTCACATTCACTGTTTGATCTCCATGGATGTTTCACCAAGTGTTGGTAAATGCCAATGGGTGCCATTTTTTCTGCACAAAGTAATTCAGTGACACACCTTTGCTTCATTGGTACTTCTATGTCAGATGCCACTTTATCAGACTGCCCCTCTGTACCATCTGTCACATGGCAACAAAATGCAATGGAATGGATTCAGCTTCTACTGCCATTCCACCAACTGACAATATAAGCCAACATAAGAAAACAGAAGGCATTACTTTTGGAGCATTCCTCATAAAATGTATAATAAATTTTATGTATAGAGGTAACAAAACTCATTTTAATATTTAATATTTCTTCTTTAAACAAACAAAAAGTAAGAAAAACAAAGAACTAATGGAGGCCACCTTGTTTCCTACTGTGTGTGGGTCTCATTCCCAGCAATGCCACGTTTGTTGGGAAGGGTCAGGATCACAGAACAGGCAGTGCCTCCTTCTCTTTTAGAAGTATTCAGAGAACTCCCAACACCACAAGGAGATTCTTCCTACACCTGGGGATTTGTCAGCTGCAGTGCTGTTAGAACCTAACATTCCTTTTGCCACATGGTGGGAGCACATGATCTCATTGCCAGCTTTCCCATGGGCCATTCTCTTTGGGATTATTGTGAACTGACAGAACATTGAAATCTTACACTGACTCTTATTCCTGTTTCTAGAGATGTGGCATCCACCTGCACGGTAGTGCAGCTTCTCTCCTTCCTGCATCCCAGAGTTGGGCTCATCGCATCTCTGCCCTCTAGAGAGAACAGTCTGCTTGTGCTGGCAAAGAAGGAACTCTGGCACACAGGCAACCCATGGTCACCCTTCCCAGACACCAATGAATGCTTTCGTGCGTGAGGTCACTGTGCTTCTTGTTTGCACTTTTCTCCTTGCAACACACTGGGCAGAACCAAATCCTCATTCTGTGCCTCTGCTTTGATTGCTCGCTGCTCTCTCTCTTCTCTCTTTGAGCGTAGCAAGTGTATTTGCTAATACATCATCCACTTGCACATTCTTTCCTATAATTTTCTGCTTACTTCTTCCAGATCTAGCTAGCTTTATTTGTTAAGCCTGCTAATTGCCAAGACACAAGATGTATCAACTAAATCTTACAAGGAAGACAAAAGAAAGGAATGTCTTTATTTACATCTTTAGTTTACTTTCTATTGTGGAAACACCATCTGTGGTTCTGTAGTATAAAGTCAGTTTCCCTGTGAGCAACTGACCCCCTCTGACTAAGAGCTGTCTGTACTTGTTATACTTAGGCTTAGGATTGGAGGTGTCAGACATTCCACAGAAGTCATAATTATTTGAGAATGATGCAGATCTAATTGCTTTCTGTCAGTGTAAAGTGAGAAACAATCATTCTTTGACATTACCTTAAAGAATTTGGACAATTTATTTGTTGCCTTTTATTACTACTACTTGAGCTATCATTGAGACCTGATGATGCTCTGTAGCAATTTCCCAACACGTACACTTTTTCCTATTAGGATGGACTTACAAGTTTCAGAGGCTTCTGAATACTGTTACACCTCAAAAAATAGAAGATTGGAGAAACTGGGGATGGCTGTTTGGCTATGTGTAAGCTGGCTTTATACATATCTCTTGTAGCACAATCTTATCATTCAATTATAACATCATCTTTGTTTGTTTGTTTGCTTTGCTTTTTTTGGTGTCTGTGGTTTTTCTATCAAAGAAAATACAGTAAAGCACATTTACTGCAGGGCACTCCCGTATCAATACGAGGCACCAAGAGCAGAAATGAGCATGCAGTGGTGTGGCAGCATCAGGTTCGTGGAAGTCTCTGGAAAGAAGCATCAGAAAATATTCCATGGCAGTGACTCTATGTCTACTCACTTTCTGCCATGTTTAATAATTTTTTTGTGCTTGGAACATGAGTAACTTGCTATCACTGATATGTCAGCCTCCACCTTGCATAATAAGGTACCTCTGAAAGTTTCTTAATTTGCATATTCCCAGCATTGGTTTGGTTAGCTAGACTTATGACGTCAGCACTCAAACTCATGAAAATTATGTGCAGAAATTTGCAAATCATGTGTTGTGAGAAAATATGCATCAGGAGTTTACTCACTTTTTTGAAAAAGTAATTGTAGGATGTGAATATTTAAGCAATCCTGGTCTCTCCCAGAGTGTGTCAACATCTGCCTGTGTCTGCACTGGCATGATAAGGAAATGTATCATATTCCTTTCCTTGGAGTACTGAATGCATTTTGGAAGAACTAAAGCAGATGTCTGCATCAGCAGGACAAGTGATCATGTCCAGGAATAGGACCAGCGCCCCCAGTGGTATCTTAATACTGTCAATGCCAATACAGGACAATTAACCTAACCCTAACACACATTACACAAGCAGGTAAGTGACTGCAGACATCACTGACTGTAATGCAAAACAGGTGCCTATATCAGGGACTTTTAAAGTTAGGTGAGATAAAGCCTACTGTGGCATCTGAAAGCAGGCCAAAACCTGGGTGCAGTGACAGACTTGCCATTGATCTGATGATCATTCTCACAGCTGAACATGTTTACTGCAGATCCTGAGCACTGTAATTGTAAAATTCCATTTGAAATTAACCTCTAATGAAATGAGGAGATGAGAAAAAAAAAAAACCACAACATGCCATGGTTCAGATTGTTCCAAACCAAAGGTCCTGTCTAGAAGGAAAAATGTAAGAGATGTGTGGTTACTGCTCTTTCAAATATGCAGTGGCTAACAAATACGATAAATAAATGTGACCTTTTCTAAATTCTATTCTCTGGTGAAAAGTAAAATGCATTCAAGAAGGCCGATACAAGTTTAACAGAGACTTTAATAAGAAAACAAGCATATTTCAAGGTGGGTCAGACACTTCAATGTGGCACACTTTGATTCAACACTTCAGTGCAAATCAAAAGGGAACAACTCACAAATAGTTCTATAGTTCTATACTAGAAATGAATTGTACAAAACAACACATCAATTTACTCCCTCCTCTCCACCAAAAAAAAAAGGAAGAAATGTTGCCTGATCACTGTGCTACTAGTCTTCATTATTGGTGTTGAGGAGCACTGGATATGCTGTTCCAATGTGGCGCCCATGGCGACAAACAACGATCTGTAGCTCATATTCTTCTATCTTCACTGTTTCACGTGTGACTCTTTCTTCAGACAGCAGAAAAATGACGGTGTAAAGGGCAAATTCAAACTCAGGGCTGACGCCAATAAAGTTGCTTCCAATTGGTTTGACTGAGCCCTTCCAGCTGAACTGGATGCTCAAAACTTGGTCATCTCTATCAGGCTGAAAGCATAAACATAACAATGCAATAATCTCCAATGCAGCTGTGACCGTACATAGTATCAGATTCTGGATTGTAAGTACAATTCTTCCTGTTTATGGTTCTACAACTTCTGAACTGCTCTACCTTTCCCAACTAAGGTAACCTTGCACCTCTGAGGACAATAGATGGAAAGCAGTTTAAACCAGTGAACTTTATTTTGTCTAAATAACTGGGCTCCCAGCCTTTTGGCACAAAGATATCTTGAAGGGGTCCAGAAATGTAGACACCTGCTGCACGTACAATAACTACAGATGACAGTAGGAAGAGGATGAGAGGGAAAAGGATGAGAGCCACAGTGACTGTGGCTGTGACTAGATGTATACAGGGAAAAATGCAACACTGTCTGCATCATGGTGCTCTGATTCATTAACACACTTTTCCTCTGAGCATCTACTAATCTTATTTTCAAGGCCAGCCTGCTCGTTCTTACCCTGGTTTTATTCTTCCGAGCGATGTATCCCTTGTAGTCAATTTGTTTATGCTTTTCCTGAAGATAAAATTGCACCCAATTGTGCAAACCTAAGATCTGTTTACCATGCCTTGTTTCTCCAACAAAAACATGTTCAAAACCACAAGAATCAGGTCTGTAATAAACAACAAAAAAAAATACATACATATTTTATTTGCTTAAATAGTTGAAATTCACTAGTGTAAAAGGAAAAGATGCACAAGCGTGACTAGATTCATCTGTGTACAGTTTATGTGTCAGAATTAGTTTGGGGGTTTTTGGGTTTTCCTTCTTACTTTGCACAAAACTTCCAGTGCAATCTATTCACAAAGTCTGAAACTCTATTTGATGATGAAGATTATTAGTAAAAGCCACAGATGTATCACTGCTGCTTATCCTGATTTTAGTCAGACTTTTGACACAATCTCCTGAAACAGCTATATGACAAACACATGTATAGTTTAGAAAAGTGGATGGTGTAGTGGATTGAAAAGTGGATGAACATCTGCACTTGAACGCCTGTGACTAGAGATAGCAAGTCCATCTGGATCTCAGTCACCAGCACTGCACCCCAAGGGTCAACATCATTAATATCTGATCAGTAAGTCTTTAACATGATCTGTGTAGGACCATTGTACACTGCCTTAGGTCACATCCTGAGATTGCTTTCCAGTTCAGTGTGCAATTAATGGAACTCAGGCTTGCAGTTGTATAAATCAGAATAGTGTAGAGATTCATACCTGTCTCCTTCTTTCCTGGGATAGAGCTGGAACCAGATGTCATAGAGCTGATACTTGAAATCAACAAGCTTTGGCTTTGCTAGTTTTTTTTTAACCAGATACTGGTGAGCTAGCTGAAAGATATAAAACAAAGGTAATTCAGTGTAATACAGTGTAACACTGTAATTCAGTGTTTTCAGTGACAAAAACTGAGTTCATTACTCACTTTCATTACTCCAGTCATTAAGATAGCATCAAGAAAGCAATTGTTTTCAGCTATTTCTTCTGGAGTCACTACTTCTTCTACTCCAGTTGATGTCTCATAATTGTCCAATAAGGAAATAAAGGCTGCAGAAAAAGAGAAACTTTTGATGAAAAAGACATAATCATACCTGTGTCCCAGTCTTGAGAGTCATTATAAAAAGCTGCCATATAATAGGGAAGGAAGGATGTCCCTTTATGTGTCAGATCTCATTCTCACTGGAGTGGCTCAGTACCAGATTAATTGTTTTTAGGTTAAACAGCTCAGTACTGAGCTCCCTAATGGAAATAACTGGCTGAAACGATAATGAGCTTCCACAAACAAATAAATAAAAAAATAAATAAAAATATGAGCACCTAAATTACAAACTGATTCTTATGAAGTTGCATTATGCTAGCAGAAGGCTTTGCGGGTATTATTTCAGCATGAACTACATAAGATGACCTGAGGTTGAGCTCACAGCCACTGAGTGGATGATTTTATTCTCCCTGGTGCACCCCTCTTGCCACCCACTGCCTCCCATCACTTCAGCTGCCCCTGGTCTACAACCAGTGGATTCTGCAGGTAGATTCAGCACGATAATAAAAAAAATACTTGAGTTCCAAAATGTAAGTCATTCCCCGCCAGGTTAGAGAGCTGAAGAGAGCTCAGGGCTCAGTACTTAGCTGTGCTCACAAGGAGCTGGATTGTTAGCTCAGTGAGGAGTATGGGAACACAGCATGGTGTTCCTTATTATGCCAGCTGTTTGATCAGCTGAGCAACATACTGCAGCTCCGCTCAAGGAAAAGAAAAGCCAGGAAAGGAAACATATATTGATAGACGTGCTTGCATGCTTGAAGTATAGCCCTAAGAGGAACGCAAGAGGTAGCTGTGAATCTAATGCTGTCTGAAGTGCTAGTAGCTGTGAACAAAGGACGAAAGATGACTTTAACATCTTTTTCAATACATGGAATAACATCAAAGGAATTACAAGACTCTCATCCATTTTGCTTTGTAGTTGGAGGGCCTCAGAGAAATTCAGATCTTGACTATAGCAGAAAAGGGTGCTCTTCCTGACACCAAGACTACAGACAACCTACACTGTAAACACTGGGGAGACTACCTTCAAATGACAAGGAGTCTGATGAACCTCACTTTCTGCTCATCAGATCATCCAAATTATATGCAGTGTTATGTTTCAGGTAAACACATAAAGCCAACACAGATTCTTTATGTCACTTCCACCATTAATAAAAGAACAGGTCTCACTTGCAAAAGTTTTTGTGTTCTTCAGGCGTTCTTCATTTACGTAATGAAACAGATGTCTGGCTGCACTGTCACCTTGCTGTACAGCATCTGCTTTTCCCTGGGAGAAACACCAGAATGAAACAACAACAGAAGTAATATGTTCTCAGAGGAGACAGTAGCTGCCTTTATAATAATGAAAACAAAAAGCACAATCCTATCGGGATCCTTTGTTAGAAATTGTTGTCCTACAAAACAAGAGAAGATATTACTGAAGATCTGCCAGCATGAAGAAAGATACAATCTCTGACACTGCGGCAGACTGAATTTTCTCTGTTGACTCTTGTTCACAAATGATTGTGAGCATCCCTGTGATGGATCAGTAACTACTGTGGGTCCCTCGGGCTCAGCCTTCGTCCTCCCTTTCTCTCTGACCATTGTCCCAGCAATTGCCCCAGTGCCAGGGTGATGCTGAGGTTGTTCTGTCATCTTTGGACTGGTGCATGGTTGCACTCCGAAGTTTTCAAGGACTTCTGGTTGATTGTTTAAAAGTGGACGTTTTAATCAATGTGACCAATAAGCACATCCAAAACAGATGTGGCTTTCCAACAATTTTCAAGTTTCCGTTCCACAAAAGGCATTCTTAAGGAAGGAAAAGATGAATAGCTTTAAGTTAACACAGGCAAGGAGAAGCTAGAGCCTTGCTCTGTGAAATGGAGAAAGCATGCGAGAGAAACTTTCCTCCCTAGCTTTGGCTAGAGGTAAGTCTCTTTCAACTTTATTATCAACATCAGGAGCAGCAACAACCCTGAAACCCTCCTTTCGTATGAAAGCTACTCCAATCTCCATGCTCCAGATGAGACCCAGGAATTCCTCAGTTTCCTCCCTCATTCCCTCAAAAATGTCTTGGAACCTGCCTCCCCTTGTCTGTTAATGCAAGCCACCCAGATCGTACACACAAGCATTCATACACACGTACACACACATAACCATATGCACAGAATTATCCAGGGTAAAGGAGACCTCAGAACATCTCTAGTCCTGCTCAAAGTATGGTTAACCTTGAATTCAGACTATATTGCTCTGGGTGTCATTCTGTTGAATATAGAAAAGGTTCACAGAAGGAGATTTCACAACTTTTTTGTTCCGTTTGCATTTGTCCTTGAATTTCATGATGTTTTTTCAGCCTGTTTCTCTAGCCTGCCTAGGTGCAGCTGAAGGGCAGCCCTGATCTTGAGCATCTGCATTATCACAATTTGCTCCCATCATTGATGAATATTTTAGGGCTCAGGACAGGCACCTGACAGATGCCACCAGTTTCTGGGTACTGTGGAACATTAACAAGTTCTCAGTACTATTCCTTCTCCTAAGTAATTATCACTCGGAAATCTTGCCTATACCGTTAACAGAAATGATGGAGCATAAACTCTTTTATCAAAAGGCAGCTTCACAGACATTTTTTCCTAGAATACCATTCTGCACCTCCCCATGTCACTTAGCAATTAGTTACCTGCAGTTCAATTGCATAATCTTTCCCAGGTGCAAAGCGATTAACATCCATATCCCACATCTCATTGAAAAGTTTAGAAAGTTCATGATTTAAGGCCTTCCTGCCAAGAAATACGGAGAAATGCACATGTTAAAGAAGATGTATACTATTATTTTTGAAAGTCAGTTCTAGAATCTTCTGAAGTCACTCTAACCATGTCCTGGACACTAGCTTGTTAACAGGAGGGCTTTCTCTTGCTCCCACATCTTTCTGTCAATCTGCTCTAAAAACCATTGAGCTTATGGTCAATGTTAATATTTAAAGAATGCAGGTAACCTGTAAGAAAATGTGAGTCTTCCCTCAGTTTTTTTTAGAACACATTTTTTTTAGAGCACATTTTAACAAAGTTCTTATTAACTTGCAGTGAAATAAAAATAAGATGGTGTTGTTTCACTGTGCCGGGTTCTATGTACAAACCAGAAGCAAGCAGAAGGTTGCCACCTACCCAGGAAAACAGAAGGCAAATCCATACTAGAGATATTATCCTTTACCCAAATGCATAGTTATCCTAGCATGAAGCTAGAAGAATGAAGGGGGACTATGACTCCAAACATAGTGTCTGTATACAATAAAATGCTTGCATGCACTGATCTCAAATATTTTTATAAATCTATCCAAACTGGTCCCTTCCTGATTTTAATGGACTTCTGTCCCTCACAGTAGTGTACAGTTTTCCATTCTAGTATATGGGAGCCAATGGATTTGTTTGTTGCTAGGGTTAAAAGAAGGACAATTTTTGCATAGATCTTGCAGAGCACCAGAAGGAGGTTGTCGCAGAGCAGATGTATTTATATGCGTATCTGTTTGGCCTTGCCCAAGCCCCTGGCTCTGCTTGCACAGCAGACGTGTGTCTGTGGCACTGGTATCGATAGAGGCCGTGCAGCCTGCACAAGCCTCTCAGCTTCACAAGAGTCAGCAACACAACCTGTCACAGAAGCCACCACCACCTTTGCTTTTATTTGCTATCAGCAGTATTTCCACCTTCTAACAAGGGTCATAAGAAGAATTCCTTCTCAGAAGAGCTCACAAACCAACATTAGGCAGAAAATTGCTCATCTCAACAGCTTGGCTGAAGTCTCAGAAACAGGATCAGCAAGTTCCCAGAACAGTACCGAGCTGGTTTTCAAACTCCAGAAGGGAACTACATGTTCTCTTGGACTGATCTAATTTTACTGCATCACTATCCTCCTGGTTTCTGGACTCCTGATTTCTCTGCTCCTCTGCATCAGCTCATTCCATCTGATGGGTCCTTCCATATCATGTTCAATACGTTCTTTACCTTGAAAGTAACTACCAGTGGTGGGTAGGAATCTGTCGTGTACTGAATATCCAATGTATGTGAACCTTCGGTGGGGCTGTCAATATTCTTTTCTACTCTATGTGTAGTATTCTATAAACACATATTTTAGTATGTATGCATTTTGGTTAAAAAAAGTCTCTTTTCTACACAGGAAATCTGTAATCCCTTCAATACCTTCTGCTTGTTCTTGGTCTGTTCTTTAAAGATTTGTCCTGTGTTTGTAAAGGACTGTAGGGCTTTGCTTCATCTTTGCTCCTCTAGAAATCTTATAGAATATTTCATGCATTTAATTGTATAAAATAAATACCTTTTATTTCCTGATTCTCTGCTAGGTGCTACTGCAATGTCACTGTGGACTCTTCCTCTCTGTTTTATTGTCCCTCTAATTTCCAAACAGAGCAGAGCACCTCTACACATTCAATAAAGAAACATACATCCCTGCCAAAGCAAAGAACTCTTTTAACAACTTACATAGGCATCTTGTAAAAACTCTTTCTTGAGATTATTGCTTTAAAAAAGGACCATAAACTTAGCTTACACATATGAGGTCAGACAAATGCAAAAAGCAAATCTTTATGCAAATCCATTACATGTCGTGTTTAAGTAAAGCTTTCCTGAGAAAGAGTATTGCATATTTGTGCTGATTTTCAATGTAATTACATGTATCACTCAAAACAGAGATGTTTTTTGTCACTAATTCTCAGCCTCCTGCTTACGGTGAAGCCTCTCAGCTGTTAGACTGGTGTTTTCTCAGAGAATAACGTTTATATACAAGAAATCTGCCCAGTTGGACTTTATCCAGCTGCAGTCTTGCTCAGAGGTCCTTATGTGCACAAAGCACCATCCAAAACCAGGAACGCTTGGCCTGCAGTTGTAAGAGCTAAAAAAGGTTTTGGGGAAGGTCTCTGCAATAGTACCCAATGCAACACCAGTGCAACTAGAACAAAAGAAGTTAATGTTTGCACCTTGTTATGGATGTCAAGCGAAACATGAAATCTGGAGAGGATGTGCTTGCTTCTCCCAAGTCATTTTCCTGCACGGAACTTTCATTATGTTCAAAACAATTCCCCAGCAAGAAGGTGTTTATTACTATAAATGAGAAATGACTCAAGAGGTGGAGAGAGTGTAAGAAGGATCTGTGGAAAGTCATGTGAGCAAGTCAATAAAGTCAAAGCAAGAAAAACACACATTGCAAATGGGTCACACAGAGCCTTGAAAGGGAGATTTGGTTGAGCATCTTCTCTAAAGTAAATTTATCTTCAGAGAACCTTTGAACAGAATCCAATTATTAAAAAACCTTTAATCTCAGTGTAGAGAAGTAAAGAGTTTGGAATGTCTGATGAGCAAGCATTAAAAGAAGTTCTCAATCACTTAAAAAAAAGGTATTTCAAATGATGCAAAATACTGCTGTCAACACATAGGTTTAGTTGAAGAGATAAGCAATTCTCTTGGTTTTCCACTTCTGCCAGCGTGCCTGTCTTTCTCCTGTGATGCTTTTCTTAGTATAAATTCAGTATTTGAAATACAAAAACATCAACACAACAGGTTTTGTAGGAGGAAATGAAAAAGCCTTTACAAGATACAAACACGGCAATGGGCAGCTGCTTTGCCAACACCGTCAAGGTTCTGTGCAGATTTGGAAGACTGATTCTACATATCAGCTCTATCCAAGAAAAATCTCAGCATTCCCTTATTTAGCTAAAACAGTTTACATTTCTCTTTTCAGTCCTTGCCAACTCTTCAGGCTGAAGGGAGGTTCTAGAACTGAACACAAACAGCACTGCATTTTACCCAACTCCCTTCTACATGTGTCCCATGCAAGTATGTCCTGTTCCCACTGCCCTTTCATGTGAGAGATTAGTATGATTTTCTCTTACCTATCAGCCATGCTAGGCAGAAGTTTTTCTTGTAGCTCCACACTGAGCAGGGAAAATGCAAGCTGGAGTTCAGAAGTCCTTCCAGTAGCCCAGGAAGTGGAGCTCCCTCCCTTCCCCTCCAGTCACTCAGAAAGACAAGACAGGAGGTGCCAAACCCCAGGAGGAAACATGGAGTGCAGCTCCACGTCCTGTGCCTTGGCTGCCACATGCACATGCAGACCAGGAAGTCAGAGCTGCCTATACCAACTGTGCTCCTTATCTTATCAGCAGGCGATTGGGAGGACCAATAGCACCAGGAAGGTCAGCAGAGACATGTTGTCAGGGTTTTCAGGTCTGAGCCTGAGATCCTCATTGATGAGGATCATTACTTTTGGATCGACCCTAGATTATTTATTGGTTTGAGGGACTTGTATCAGGTGGACAAGCGACTCTAGTGCTGCTGGTCTATATACACTTGTTATATGACAACAGAAGGAAAGCTGGTAATGAAACACAGATCAAAAAAGTTGCAGGTGGGGAATAAAAAAGCGGTTTGCCTCTCTGTGTAACAGCTGAAATTATTGTGACCTTGTAAGCATCAGGAGGCATTATAAACAGGAAATGTTTTGCAAAGGTGGCCCTTTTCATGCATCACTGGACGCAAGCGGGGACAGGTGCCATGTGCACAAACACCCCTGCCAGTGCCTGTCCTGGGAAGCTTGTATTCATTACGTGACTAAATTAAAGCTTTGGGTGGCTTCAAGTTTGTTTTGGTTAATATTTTTTACATTTTCTTCTTTGTAGTAACTAATTGCTGAAAACGTAGCTTTAAGTTTCAAACCATAAATGTATATAAATATGCATATATATTTGTATGTATACAGAAGCCAAAACATTTTGATGTTAGACTTCTATTTATACAAATGGTTCTGTATCTCAGGTCCACGTTTCCCTTTCAAGAACAGTATTAAAGCTAAACAAGCCTTTTCACAAAGCAACATGCTTTTGTTGCAGAAAAATGATATCAGACTTCCTCTGCTCTCTCTTCTGGCAAGGGAATGGGAAGAACATTTGCTGTCACCATGCTCATATTAAGGATTTCCAGGGGAATGTGGCAGGCACTCTACCGGAACAGCCATCTCAAGCATCAGGTGCTGACTCTCACCAAGACCAGGGGCCACAGAAACCCTATGAATAAGGCCTATTTCTAAAGGACATAAGCTGTCTGTGCTGCTTCAAGAGGGTGTTTCTGGACAAAGTGCTTTGCTTTGGCTGCCAATGGATAAGTGTTTGTTTGTTTAGAGAAACTCTTCTCTCCTGCCCTTTGCCTGTCTTTCCCCAAAGAGGGAAAGTGGCAGTGACAGCAGAGAGGCAGCCTGAGCTAGTCAGCAAGAACCTTGCTGGGCTGAGGAAGAGATGAGGAGCTCATGTCCCTGCTGAGGGCAGGGAGCAGGGACTTGGAGCTTTCTCCCTTCACAAAGTTAATTTTTGAGCTGGAGCCCTACCTGGTAGTTTAATTCCCACCAAGTTCCATGGCCCAAGTGCCTAGCCTGTCTCTCAGTTATCTACCCAGGTTTCTAAGCTTCAAACTACTAATCCTAAAATCCTTCTTCTTTCCAGCCAATGCTGTTACAGTTCCTCCACTTTTGCTAGGAGTTTCTGGTGCAGCAGCTGTCCTCAAAGGGAAAAAGCAAGAGAGGATGACACCGCCAGGCAAACCCTGTCACAGAAAGGCCAGAAATGAGTAATTCCATCCCTGCAGTTAAACGCCACTTAGACCCTTCCCATTTCCTTCTGGTGATGTGGACAGCTTATTTTCAACTCGGCCTGCTGACCTGCCTTTATTTACCAGCACTAATCCCCAGATTTAATAGGTAACTAATGGTTGGTGTCCGAATGTACGAATATTTCCATTGACAGGTTAGGGAGCCAGCAAACCAAAGGCTGGGATAAAGCAAGAAGCTGGGGACACAGGTGGCTTGGGATCCCAGTTTGGGCTGAAGGGCTAAGGGGACAAATGAGCCATATTTTATTTTATTTTATTTTATTTTATTTTATTTTATTTTATTTTATTTTATTTTATTTATTTTATTTTATTCTGTGGGAACACAAGAAAGACTATTCAGAGCAGCAGCTGTGAAGCAAGATAAACAGCACAAGAAAGCAAGGCTGAAAACCAAGAACATCTCTAGAAGTAGAGAAAAGCAAAAGAAATGCCTATGGCTCTGATTGGATAAGCACCTATAGGCACGGTTAAGGAGTGTTTGTGGAATACTTTGTTGACATGAAAAGGTAAATGGGAAAGCTAAAAAAAAGAAACTTGTGAATGTATATAAGTGATGTGAGAACTTGTAATAAATGACTTGGATCGTTCACATCTGAGTCCGTGCCTGGTTGTCACATTATTATTTTATTTTATCTTGATATGAGGATTCAAGCTTATGCTTTCCTTGATTTTATTAGAAGAGACTGTCTAGGAACAATTAAGGCCTGTTTACATATTTATGAAAGAGTTTCTGGGGTGTTGAGCACAGGCTTCCAAATTTATTTATTTACTAGTCACTAATTTGTACATATCAGTGTAAACTAAAATTTTAGGAGTTCTGACTGAAACATGCTCCCTTGTTTCACACCTCCATTCTTGTGCTTTTCAAATGAACGTTGTCATTGCTGAGCCAGGCTGTTAGTCATCCAGCCTCGATAGTAAGGACTGGATCCACTCATGGACTTGGAAGCCCTCTAGATGTATGAGTGAGGGATGTTCAGGCTTATGTATAGCAGTATAGTGAATAGTGATGCTGATAGAGGTCAGCTATCCTCTCTGTATTTTGAAAAGATGTTGGGACTCAGCTGTTGCTTAGGAAGCAAAGGATGTTTACTGAGCATACCTCTTGCTTTCCCCTATTTCCACTAGAGGCTGTGGATGCCCCGTCCCTGGAGGCGTTCAAGGTCAGGTTGGATGGGGCCCTGGGCAGCCTGGTCTGGTACTGAATGTGGATGTTGGTGGCCCTGCCTGTGGCAGGCGGGTTGGAGATTCATGATCCTTGAGGTCCCTTCCAACCCTGGCCATTCTGTGATTCTGTGATATTCCTTTTAGTACTTACAGTGGGCCTACAAGAGAGCTGTAGAGGGAATCCTTAACAGAGAGTGTGGTGATAGGAGAAGGTGAATGGTTTTAAACTAAAAGAGGGGAGATTTAGGTTACATATTAAGTGGAAATTCTTCACTCAGAGGGCAGTGAGGCCCTGGCACAGCTGCCCATATGAGCTGTGGGTGCCCCATCCCTGAAGGAAATCAAGGCCAGGTTGGATGGGCCCCTGGGCAGCCTGAGCCCCAGCATGGGGTTGGAACTGGGTGGGCTTTAAGGTCCCTTCCAACACAAAACATTCCATGGTTCTATGATTGTGTGACTGTGTGATCTTGCTAATAATGGGCAAAAGAGCATTGTGAATATAGATGTGTATATATGCACATGACAAAGCGACAAGGACAGACTCACAGAAGGGGTGAAACTGATAGAAATCGTTCTTAGATGCATTCCTTCTTTGCTGAGGAGAGGCGTCAAAAATAAACACACAAGGGAAACAAACAGAAGCGCGTGCAGAGGCCAGTTTTCTTTTCGCCATTCCCACCCACTCCACCCCGGTTTTGCCGCTTTGTCCCTGCGCGGTAGGGATCAGCACGGACCGCAGCTCAGGCGGCCGCAGCTGCCCGCCCTACCCACGCCGTACGGACGGAACCCAAGCGCTGCCCCGCCGCGCCCATCCCGCAGGCCTACGGCCCGCCCGCTGCCACAGCGGTGCTGCGGCGCCCCCTGGTGGCCCGCGGGGATTGGCGGAGCGCCGCGCAGCGGGGCGGTGCGGCGGGGAGGCCGGGCGCTGATTGGCGGGGCGGAGCCGCCGCTTTGGGCTGGAGGGCAGCGATGGGGGCGCAGCTCAGCACGGTGAGTGCCGTGGCGGTGGCGGGGCCCGGCGTCGCGGGGATCTGCCTGCGTGGGAGCGGGGCGGCGGTGTTGCAGCCGGGTTGTGGTGGCCGCGCTGCGGTGCGGCTCGGGTTTTTCTCTTTCAGCCTCCCGGTTCCTCGGATTTCCGGCACGGCCGAGAGGACGAGGCTGGGGGAGAGCACAGCACGGCCCGGCCCCGTCCTGCCGCGGCCCCGTAGCGGGTGGCCGTGTGAGGGGTGGAGCCCCATCCCGCTGTTGCCCCGCCCGTGCCGCCAGCCCTTAGCGCGGCTTCTGCCATGGCCGCCTTTGTTCCGCCCTCCCCCCCCCCTCCCCGCTCTGCTGCCATTAATAAAAATTCCTTTTCTGTCGCTTATCCTGTGTTAGCAGCTGTGAGTCACCAGCGATTCGCCGAGCGGCTCCCGGCCCGGCGCTGCTGCCCCCCGGGGGGCTCAGGTCGCTGCGCGCCTTGTGGCAGCGCTGTTAGGTGTGGATGGCAGGCGCGGCTTCTTGCAGCTGCTCAGCCTTTCGTTGCTCTCTTTTTCCCGCTCGTCAGCTGATGGTTATTTCAGTTCTCAGTCAGACGCCGGTTGTGCCGTTCCTGTCCCGCTAAACCCCCTGGGTAACAAACGGCTGTCTGCGGGGCTGTGGTTGTTGTTGTCAGAATTCGGCTTGATGCTGTGGTGCCCTGCTTCCAAAGGTGATGGTTACGAGGAAGAGCGGCTTTCTATCTCTCTGAGCAGCTGTGGTAGTTCACACCTTGCCATCTGACCACCTCAAAATTATTCACAGAGATAGGAGAAAACTTGTTCCAGCACACGGGTGGAGAAGCTGACTTGTGACATACACACAGTTCTCCCTTGTTCCCTGTTATACATTGATCCTGGGGCTGGAACCAGGCCCAAGCGTTTTTAATTCCCATTTTCATTTGCTGAACCACAGCTGCTCTTTGTTCATTTCGGGTAGCCACGTGTTTCAATGAAACTAATTTATTTTAATGCATTAATGTCTTGTTTGCAGCGGCATCTCTTCCACATTCAGCTTACCATCTCCAGTAGGCCTCGCTGTTGTGGTTGCCATTAGGAGTTATTTGCTGCTCTGTCACGGTCTTAAATGCCCCATCTGTCTGTTTTGTGACTCAGTAACAAAAATCCTTCTCAGAGCTGCGGTAATCTCACGGGTCTGCAGAAACTAATAGTGAACTTCAGCTTCATTAGACACAATTTTTGCAGTAAAAGTGGAAAAACGCAGTGTGCGCATGGCATGGCATGTTTTCAAGTTATACCAGGTGCTGATAGCTCTTATGTCTCTACAGCAGCATTTTAGGAGACGAGAGTTTATTACTGTCTTAATTGTACACTTGCCACAATTTTGGCAGTCATGTAGTACGTCTTGCAGCCTCCTGAAGGCTGTCATGCTGACAGCAGTGTGGTTCCAAAACACTGGTCAGGTCCTTTAAAAGCAGAATGAAAGTTGAGACTTCACCCTCTTCCATGAATGATAAGGAGCGCTGCATGCAGTCAAAGTACATTGCTCAGTTTTTATTTTCAGTTTGATCTCCATCACCCTCCCCCCCCCTTTTTTTTTTTTTTTCACAAGAGCTACCCTTGTGATTTTCCTCTCTCCTGTGTTAAAGCATTAAATAACAAATAGAGCTGAAGAGGATCGCTATGAGAAGCAGGAGCTCTCCTTCCCCAAGACAGGATGATCTTGTATCAGTGTTAGTCAGGTGCCCGAGGTTCTGCTACACATGGGGGAGCACAGGGAGATGCTAGCAGACAGGGGAACCCCAATGCCAGCCTGAGGACTGAGCTGCTGTCACAGGAAGCTCCCTGCCCCACAGCTGGCTTGGCACCTGTCT